GTAGTCGTGGTCGCAGTCGCAGTCGTAGTCGTCGTCGTAGTAGTCGTAGTAGTAGCAGCAGCAGCCAGAGTAGCAGCAGCTGCAGTAGCAGGAGGACGAAGAGGTAGCAGTAACAGTAGTGGTGGTCGGTGTAGGTTTGTTGATGTCTTCTACGAAGACGACGACTACTGCTAGTAGTGCTGCGATGACGACGACGACGACGGCGCTTGCGGCTACGACACGACAATGACGACAACGACGACAACGACGGCGGCGGCTGCTGCCGCTGCTACTGCTACTGCTGCTACTGCTACGGCTACTAGTCGACTACATCATGCACATAGTAACTAACGCGGGGTCGGCGGCAGCGGTGTTAGCCCTTAAATCGGGCAACGCCCTGGGGTTGCTGCCGCAGGCCATGGCCCTAGCTTTAGCTATGGGTCGGAAGCCAATGCCGCCGACCCGCCCCGGCGCAAGCATCATTGCACCCTTGTTTTTCCGTCGGGCCGCGCGGGACCTGGTTGGGAGGCTTACCCGGCAACGCGCACATTTTGCGGCCATTCCCCATGCTATGGCGTGTTTTGGGGCACCCGTGCCTGACACTTGGGCGGCACGCGGCGAGCATCATGAGCACCCAGCGCGCGTGCAGCGGCCCGTCAGGCGCCGGCAGGCGCAAGCCGATGTTTTCGGAGGTCGGGAGGGGTACCGGAAGGCCTCAAATTAGTGCCCGCACGCGCGCAATGATGCTGATGATGCTCACTGGAAGGCCTCAAAGGTGGCTCCCCCGCGCAGATGCTGGCCGCGGAGGCGGCACGAAGAGGCACCAAGCGGGACAGGGCGCGCGCGCGCACGCATGCACAGGGAGGGGGGGGGGGGCATCCCCGCGCGCTCGCGCGCGCGGCCCCCCCCCCCTGCTGAGCGCTCTTCATTGCCCCCCGCCCAATGAATGAGTGAATGAATGAATGAATGATTGAATGAACGAATGACTAAATGATTGAATGAATGATTGATTGATTGATTGATTGATTGATTGAATGATTGATTGATTGATTGATGGATTGAATGAATGAATTAACGAATGAATGATTGAATGAATTAAGGAATGCATGAATGAATGAACTGCCTGCGTTGCCCGACTCTGGGCGCAGCCCCTTAAATACTCCTTAAAGAAACATGTGTCCACTTTCATTTCGTTCTTATCCACAGCTATTGAATGTGGCTAGATGTATTTGCGACTAAAACAATTTCTACACATATCCAAGATCAAAAACTGAGGCAACTGAAGTTTACCAGCAAGGCTAGGCGCGGAAATGATCATGGAAGTTGGTAGTTTTGGCACTACATGGCATTTACTTCGTGAATGAGGAACCTCACTCAATATTGAAACAGAGAAAGTTGTTCTGACTCAATATATTGGGTAAGAAATTGGAAACGATAGAGGTGATGAAAGTTGTATTTCGTGAGAGGAAGCGCGCCCCAGACGATGGCATTTGTAGTATGTCAGATCAAACAGGACTGATTTAAATTTGTGACACAGGGAAGGGTGACACCGAAGGATTTTGAACAAAGGACCGAGACCTTAGAGCAAAGATGTAACCATCCTCAAGAACAACTTAAATACGATGGGCTAATTTAAAACTCTAGTGTATATTGACAGTTGTATAGTTACCCTGCCCAAACATGTAGAACAAAGCATGTCCTGTTATTCCCTTGTGAGAAACGAACACCTCGGCATGTGCATGCAATGAATAGTGGAGAACTGAAAGGGAACTCTACTATTGGGCGTCTCGTATTGCCACTGCAACTGCTACCAGTAGTAGGCTATACGCTGTAAACATGGCAGCACTGTAGTACGCAGGGAGCAAGTAGCTGAATAGCTATGAACAGAGGCATAAGGACAGGCACCAGACAACAGGTTCACAAGGGAACAGATTCATACGCACGCCATAAGGGTGTGGAAATGATTCTAATTCGTAATCAGTTTCGATAAATCTTACGGCAAACCTTTTTTCATAATCTCTCACATTATGAAAAAAGTGCATATTTAGATGACAACAGTGCCAGTGAAGTTCAATCAGAGACAAGTCAGTTCTGATGCATATAGTGAGCCAGATGTGAATATCGTGAGAAAAGGTTTTCGTTGTAGGCAAGTCAAGATATTTTTTCAAAGGCTCATATTGTCATTAAATAGTCCTACAACTAGAAATACAGACGTGTAAAGGGATAGTGATATTTCTATCGGGAGACAATCAAACGTTCAAGGCCGCAGTTACAAAACCAGCCGAAGAGGGTCGGGCTTAATAGATTGGGTCAACCTTGGCGCAATTGCGTGAATTGCAAAGCAGAAAGGAAGTAGACAACGAAATGAAAGTCGTAGAGAAGCCTGAAGTCCCCTCAATGTTTGATCATGTTGCAAGGCTGTTGATGAATGATCTTTTTGGAACTACTTCATGAGATTTGGGATGCACACGGATAGGGTGATGATTCAGATACCTAGGCCCTAGGCCAACACGGTGCTGCCGATTGCCCAGACTGCTAATACCGTCGAGCCCGGCGCTGAGATATCGTCCTCCGGAAGAATGCGAAGGGCACCGTGAAGTGAGATCGCAATGAGCGGGCGCGGAGAATGAAGTTCTTGTGTTCAAGATGAATGGACCACGTGCCGACTGTTTGCAAGATTGCATCGTAGCCTCCAAATGATCACACTTGAGACTCGAATGCCATTCCGCCGGTCCGAATCGAGCCAAAATGTCCAGAATGAGGCCAATTTCTTGTGGCAGCCTTTGGTTGCTACTGCTTCGAATGTTCTCTGATCGCTTCACGAATGATGCCGTGTATCTGTCTGGTTTTTGACTGAAGTCAGAACCACGGGACTGTGTTAAATGACACTACACTAGAAAGTTCCTGAATGAACATGATGCATTGGCTCAAGACTGAGCAGGTCGCACAAAAGAGCGCTCGAGTGTTCGGATTGTACTGGGGAAGGGGATTGATCTCGGTTACTTATACCTGCCTGAATTATGTAGTGGAATCTTGCACTCTCTCCCTCTCCCTCTTCTTCAACACAGTCAAAGCTCTCTTCTTCCTTCGGGTTAGAGGAGCTTGTCAGGCTCCCCGGCCCATGGGGCCCCCCAACGTTCTGGGGCTTTCGGGGAGNNCTCTCTCTCTCTCTCTGCCGCTGCACGGAATGCTGTCGAGGCCACAATCTCTGCGACAACGGCTGCACAGCGAAGGTTCAGCGACTGCAGCTGAGCCTAAGGAAGAGAGGCCGGGCGAAGCGGAGAGCAAAAAGAAGCAGCAGAGGAGAAAACCCCCAGCCGCCGAGCATCTTCTGCGGCTTGCGGCCGAAGCCTCGGAGCGAAGCGCGTGCGAAGCGCACGCTAGCACCGCAAATGCATGCACCGGAGTCAAGAATTTGGGGGGCGCGGAGCAGCTGCTGCCGTCGCAGCCGGCCCTGAGCTTCGCAAGCCTTTGCTCGCTCCTTTCGACCTCGAAGCACGCAGCTCTAGCCGTGCAAGCGCAGCCTCGAAGCGTCGAGAGGCGACTCTCTCCCTTCTCGGCCGGCGGCAAAGCTCTTCGAGCACCTTCTTCTTCTCAGCGAGGGCCTTCCGTCTTTTTTGACTCTCGTCCCCCCTCTACTTAAGCTTGAAAAAAAAAGCAGTGGCAGCACCTTCTGCAAAAGAGATGTGTGTGGCGAGAGCTGCCTTTGGAAGTTCCTGCAGCGGGCGGAGCCTCCGTCTCGGCGCGCAGCGCTGCCAGCTGCTCCCGGGAGCTGCCCAGCTGCTCGTGAGACTGCGCGGGGCGGGCGGCGGGCGGGGGACCGAAGAAGGGCGCTCAAAATGTGTGTGTGTGTGTGAAGTGCATGTAGCGCTGTTTTTTCGAGGCGGAGATCTCCGCCAGCTCTCTGAAGCTGCAGGCTCTGCTGCTGCCCGCGCCTCTGCCACCTGGGACTCCACTTTCCGAGTCTCCTCCGCGGAGCGTGTGCGGCTCTCTCCCGCTCTCTTTCTGCTAAAAAAAAGGCTTCTGCGCCGCTCTCTCCCTGTCTCTCTCTCTCTCTCTCTCTCCTCCCGAGCGGAGATCGTCGCAACTTCCAGCCGCCTCCTCACAAAGCACAGGGAGGCGCGCACGGAGCCATTGGTGCTGCTTCCCAGCCTCTCTGCATCCGACGTCTGCTCTTCGGATCGCAAGGTCTCCTGCGGCGGCCGTGGAGTCGATCGTCGATTATCGTCGAGATTAGTAAAAAGGTGGGGCTCAGGGCGCCGACCTCCAAGTCCAGGCAGTTTTGAATCTCCGACTTCTCGCCAGCCTCGACAGGCTGCGACAAAAAGGAATGAAGTTGAAGGCGGACTCAAGAAAAAAGGCCCTGTGCGTTTCCGTGTGCACATGCACCTCGGCCCTCTTGAGCCTTTCAATCAGCTCAGAGAACCTCCGAAAAGACGGAGAGAGACTTGAGAGAGCCCGAGACAGCTCCTGGCTCTCTGATCATGAGAAGGCGGCTTGTTGCAGAGGAAGTCCACGCTGCTGTCAGCACCTCCGCGACGCGGCAGCGAGCATCGCATCGCATCTCGCATCTATCGCCGGCTTGGGAGTCGCAGGGCTGCGTCGCGCGGGTCGCGCGGGCGCCTGGCACCAAACTCCGCTGCAGGCCGCAGAGCAGCCGGCTCACCTCCAAAGCCTCCGGGCACACAGAATTTTCGTCCGGAATTTCAAGGGGCAAGGACGACGAGGCGCTCCAAAAAGAGGCTCTTTCTCGCACCTGCGGCAGCGACGGTGGCAACTTCGCCATCCGGCCGGTCCGATCTATGTGGCCTTTTCGGTCGATGCTTTCATGCAGTTGACTGACCGGGTGGTCCAATGGCCTGCATTGCTGTGGCCAGTGCGAAAGCCACCGGCTAGAAAGGTTCTCAAACATCTGCATTTTCAGACGGAAACCTATGCTTTTTGGCAGAGTCGTGCCAGGCATCGGCAAAGTCACCGATCTCTGAGGGCCTAGACTAGACTAAACTCGACGCGGGAGCCGGAAATCTTCAGTCTCCACCTTCATGTAAATACATGCATAAACATGCCCTCAAGGACACAAGGCTTGTAGGCTGGAGAAGGGGTCACGGTGTAGCTGGCTAATGCGCGCACGGTCGTTTGAAAGGCTTGGCAATACACACAAAGCGCACGGATGAAGCAGGAAGCAGGTCAATCGGTCCGGCGCTCGAAACCTGTCACTGTCTCTAGAACTCTTTGAGGATCTTTAGAACTGAGCCAGGTGGGTGGCGTTTCTTTGCTTCGGCCCTCCTGTTTATCTCAGTTTTTTCGAGTTGTAAGGTGCAGTCGCAAGAAGTATTGCAGGATGCAGCTTCATCGCGCTAGTCTCGTTAACCACGGACGGAGGGCTCTTCAGCTGAGCCTTGCCAAGCGGTTCTCATGACTTGCTGCTCAGAAGGACTTGGTCAGGTGACAAGTTGGAGGAGGCAGCCATGCTCGTACCGAGGGAAGAAAATCGGCCCCTTTTGCAAGTGCTCAGTCACCACGATCCCTGTACATCTGTACAACGGTGAGGCTTCAGTTCAGTTTCCATGTCCCGACTCACACCCATGGTGTCCATACGTGGTAGAAGAGACGGAGTGTGACCCAGGCATCCAGCGCCGCGTACTTCACCTTCACAGACAGGGAGACCCCGGAGACCCCTAGATCCAGAGCAGGGTCACACCGGTGCATGTGTGTGCACTCTGACAAGTGCTCTCGGAGCGGATTTTCCCCTTCGTCTCGTGCCGGCTCGTGCCTGCTGTGGTGAGAGCGTGTGCACGGACCAATCCGAGCAGCTGCAGCTGATGTCCTTTCTTAGGACGTAGCCTGAGCTCAACTCACGCGGCAGTCCGGACGCCGTATGCCCACATATGGTGGGGATAATGGGATAATTCGAAGGCCGGTGGCGAAGCAGCTCTAAGGCCGTGCGGCGCAGGCCGCAGGGCCTGTTTGGAGGGGCGCCCAGCAGCTCTCCGCAGGGCGGCTGCCTCTTTTGGCGGGGCGGTTCTCTGAGGTACCGGCCACTGACAGGGCTTACAGCGATTTGCTTTCTGGGGGCAGGGCATGTCTACCACCGAGTCTCTATACAGGGGAATTCCGCTGGTGACGAATTTGTCCACGTCCTTGCAATCCACGCCAAAGCCAACCTCATGCTGGAAAGAAGCATCACTGCAGCTGGCACTTCTCCAACGTCTCGCGGTTGCGACCGAGCGTCTTTGGTAATCCATGGATCCACGAGCATCTGCTGCACAGGAGAAGGAATTCGTCCAATCCGGTGCAGCTGCAGGACGTAGACCTTTCCATGCTCCACAATAGGCTAGTCGGTTAGTCTTCAATTCATAAGGAAGCATATCCATTCCTTAATTTTTCAAACAGGGCTGCCCTGCAGGTCGGAAATGCCAGCTGCATCACTGAGATGGGATGATCGGAGTCACCAACGTCTGGTACCCACTCCACATCAAGCGCTACAAGGTCTGCCATTGCCAAGTCCCAACAAAGGGCGACGTAGCTCCTGCTCTCAGTGCTGTTCACGACCAGAACTTCCGAAGGCTCGTCTGGCAGTGCCGGCTGGGGTGAATGGGGTGACCAGAACGTGGCTGGCGCCTGGGGTGCGTCCCAAACGGTATCGCTGTTCCAGACGTACCAAGCGGCCGGGGCGGTCGACTCCGCGGCCGCGTCCCTTCTCGGAGTCTTGGCCCTCAGCGCCATGGCGATCTTCCTAGGACCCCCGCTGCGCCGGCTGCGCAGCCGCTTCCAGCCGCTCTCTTTCAGCCACTGCGCACAAGAAAAGACTGATGAGATGACCTGAGATGTGACATGACATGAGCCTCGAGCAGCATGGACGTCTCAGCTCTCACAGAAGGCCAGCGATCTTTGCTCACGCTGCCCGCTCCGCTCATAACTCGAAGTCACGGGTGTAACCTCGATAGGCGGCCACGATTATCATCGGCTCCTGACAGAGGAATGCGAAGTGAGCAGCTTGAGAGGCGGTCCTATGAATGGGGAGAGGGCCTCCTTCCAGCCCTGCCCCGAACGGCCAGCGCCGCAGCGGGCGCCGTAGCCACCAGCACGACCGCGACCTCGGCCTCGGCCTGCGGGAATCCGAAAAGGAGAGAACAGCTGTGGCAGCGCGCTCCCCCAGAAAAAAGAAAAGAGTCTCCTCTCCTCCCAGCGAAAGGTGCTCCCCGCGCCTCCGCCAGCTCTTTCTCTCTGTCTCTCAGCTGGCCTCAGCGCCGCTGCGACTTCGCTTATTAGGGGCCGTGTGTGCAGAAGGGTACGGCCGTACCGAGGCCGAGGGCCGCTGCGGCTGCGGCTTCGGCTCCTCGTTTCTGCTAGCTCTGGCAACGCCCTGCGTGTGCCGATCCGCGCCCGGTTCATTCACAAGCTCCCTCTGCCGCTGCCTCTGCAGCCTCGGCGGCCTTCTCCGAAGCTCTCCGGGAGCGCACGTCCGGCCTCACAGACGCGGAGACTGCCAAAGACGCCTACAGACACCACGCGCTCTCTAGATGCGCGCGCTTTCGTTTCTGGACGGCTCCGGGCGGGAGCGGCGCAGGCTTGGACGGCTTGATCTCGGGGCCGCCCCTGACACGGGGAGCTTGCTGCAAGCGTCATATAAGATATAACTTTGCAGCATCTTTGCTGCCCCCCCCAAATCCGAGCCAAGCCGGCTTGGGCTTCAAAAGAGAGTTCGGCGCCTCAAGCAAGAGAGAGAACTGAGGGAAGCTGAGAGCTCTGAGCTCTCAGCCGCACTCACGCTGGAAGCTGCTCTATAAGCTCGCTGCTAGGGGCTTCGTCCTCGACTTTGGCCTCAAAACAAAAAAACTGGGCCAAGCTGTCCGGCATGCGAGCGCACTCGCAGAATCCAGACTCACTCTCCAAGGAGGCCGCTGGTCCCAATGGCGCCACCCAGGCTCAGGCCCAGGACCCTTCGAAACTTCAGAAGGGGGGAGGGGGAGAAGGAAATTTGCGGAAAACGCGAGGAGGAAGAAAAATGAAAGTCTTCTCTAGAGAGGGCTCTTCTCTGGCTTCCGTCTGCCGTCCGCGCGGAGCAGCTCCGCCTCGCCGGCCTCGCCGACCTCGCCCTCGTCGCGCGAGTCGGCCTGGCCTTCGCCGTAACGCTGCGCCTGCACTTCGATCAGTTCTCCTGCGATCCCCTTCTTCAAAACCTAGACAAAAAAAGCCCAGAGAGAGCTGCAGAGCCGAGCCACCCGAAAGGCTGCAAGTCTCCCAAGCCTCGCACACATGGGCACTTAAGAGAGTTTGAGGGCACCACCAAACAAAGAAGCACCAGCCGCGCCTGCTTTTAGGCAAGGCGGCCGGGTCGCATCGCGAAGCTTCAAGATGAGCTTCGCCTCGCCGAGTCTTAGAAGACTCAAGGCCCCTTTCAACAACCCCCCTCGCTCTTCGCTTGTCTCTCTGCGGAGGCCTCGAGCAGCTGCGCAGATGCTGGCGATGGACATTCCTCGCAGACTCGCAGAACAAAAAGATTGGAACCCCAAAAAACCCAAGCCTAAACCCCAAAGCCCAAGAAAAAACAACGAGAAATCTGAGGAGCCTGCGAAGGCGCCCGGAGACGCGAGGACTCGAGGCTGAAAATATCCCTCTCTGTGCTTTCAACTGCTTTGCCACTCTTTGCCTCCCTTTTGTTCCGAGAGTGTTTTCCATTCACTCAAAACTCAGAACATCTAATGGACACAATGCACACATGTGAGAGTCGCTTGTTTTGGAGCCCCTGCTCTGCACGTTGGAGCCAAAGAAGTCAAGAAGCAAAGAAGCAGAGTTGCCCGCATGCTAGAGACCAGAGCGACAAGAGACTAGAGTCGCAAGAGACTTCGCCAGGCTCTTGAAAGCAGGAAGCTGTGAGATCCTGCGCTCGAAATCTTTTTGTAATCTGATCCGACGCCAGAGGTCCACCTCCGGTTCTTCCACCGCAGCGGTCAGAAAACGAAACTCGAAAGGCCTAACGAATGCGTGGCCTGCGACTGGAACGCAGCGGCGCAGTGAAGGTTCTGGCAAGGAGCGGGTTACTCCAACGCTGCAGGCCGTGGTGGCGCTGGTGCTTTGAAGCGGATGGCCGGGCCAGCCGGGCAGGTGACCGTGACATTCAGTGCTGCGTCGGCTTCAATCGGTCTCAGCTCAGATGCCCCGGAGCTCCCGCACAAATGCTGCAGACATCTGCAGACAGTGGCGGGGCCGGACGCTAAGTCTCAGGCCATGCCTGCCCTTTGCCTCGCCTGCTGCCTCCTATATACTTTATCGACTTTATCCTTTCAAAATAACAGACAGGGACAGAACGCTCAGCCCCTTCACTGCGGAGACCGTGAGGGAACAGGATCGAAAGGCAAGCTCAAGGCCCTTACATTCCAAACGCCCAGCCCGTAGCCCCGAAGCACCAGCCCAGGCCAGGACGGAGCAAGGGCTCAAAATCGCTCCAAGCCACCGCGCACAACTCTCGCAGCTCTCGCGAGACGCGCGCGCCCAGCGTCGGGGCCTTAGGCAGCCGAGGTGAGGCTTTCATCACTTCTTCGAGAGATGAAGTGCTCTCGAGCGGGGCCTCTTCTGCAAGGGTCGTTTAAAGGGGGACCGCAGCCGCGTGGCCAGAAACTGCTCTCAAGGCCTCAGTTGACCACACCTTGATCACTTCACAGCCACAAAGTTAAAAGAGCCACTGGTCAGAACGCGAGCCGTACTTGGTCTTATTAGGGGCCTCAGTAGTCGCCCAGTGTCTATGCAGCCAGGGAGGTGTCAGTCAAGGCCTCAAGTCAGCTCCTCCGGCCTCTATGCTTTGCTGGAAGCTGTCAGTGTCGCTGCGTAGGGCGCGTCCATCCCTCAGCAAAAGGACAAGACACCCCCTATACGCCTACGCTCAAGTCAAGGGACCCGGAGCCTGTGCCCGCATCGGCTCAACGCGGCGTCAAGGGCACAGCACGTCACCCGCGCAGGTAGCCGCGGACCGCGGGACCGGCTGTTGCTGAACCGAGCTCGTCGCTCCTCTCGGAATGGTGTCGAGACGACTGCTGCGCTTAAAACAGAGCAGAGGTCACCGCAGTGGACCGCGGCCGACAGTCGCAGCGGTCGCAGCACCGCTGTTTAAAACAGGAGGCACCACCTCAGGTCGGCTGAAAGAGCCCCGAGAAAGCCATGGCTATCGCATCAGCGTGCTCTTTTTTCAGATGGCGCCGCTGCGACATCGCTGCGATGCCGCGAGGACACTCGCGAGGACACACTGGGGACTGGAGGTGTTTCTGTCGCGGATGTCGCAGGTGTGCAGGGCCTAGCGGGCCTCGCGCCTGCGAGCTCTCCGAAGCCGAGGCCTGTGACTGCTGAGGGGCTTTAAAAGCAACCTGTGGCTTTCTCGGTGGCACCTCAGCCTGCGCTCTTCTTCCCTTTAGAAGACTTAAGCTCTCTAGACGCCGCCCCCCTTGCATAGCTCAAGCTCCGTTTTCGGCTTCGGACCCTCTCCAGGCCTCGATGCCAGACGGAAACTTCTTCGGCTCACTATCTTGGAAGGACAGAGCACCCCCGGTGCTTAGGAGGGGTTGGGGCAGAAAATGTAGATTACAATTTTCACTCCCC